TTTCTTATCTCTACGAAATGGATGTTTATGAGGTAAAATTTGACCATGACAATCAAAAAATGATGTTTTCCTCCCATATTGAAGTTGAAAAGCCTTAGTGTTCTCCATGCAATAAGGGCATGACAACTTCCCATGTGTGCTCCATCCAGATAACATGCCATAACCTGGAAAATCACTTATAGTCCATAGCAATGCAGCTTTCATGATAAAATTCTGTTGTCTGAAACTATCATAAGTTTCAACCTCATTTGTCCACAATTCCTTAAGTTCATCAATTAATGGCCTAAGCATGACATCAATGTTTTTTCTTGGACTTTTAGGTCCAACAATTATCATGGCAAGAAATATATGCTCTGACTTCATACATAATTCAGGAGGAAGGTTGTACACTGTAAGAAAAACAGGCCAACAAGAGTAAGGTGTTATAGAGCAACTAAATGGATTGAAACCATCTGTACAGAGGCCAAGTCTAACATTTCTAGGTTCATCGGCAAATGTTGGGTGGGTTTCATCAAAGTGTTTTCATGCCTCACTACCCATAGGATGAATAACTTCATCTGCATCCTCACGGCATGTCAAATGCCATGTCATGTGCTCTGCTGTTTTTCTAGACATGTATAGTCACTACAATCTTGGGGTAATTGAAAGGTACCACAAAGATTTCCTTGAAACATCTTTCTGCCTTATAGCAGACATATTCCTTGGCTCATAACGGGATTCTCCACACACTGGACAAGCAGTTAAATTCTTACTTTGCTCATCATAGTACAAGAAGCAATCATTGACACAAATATCAATTTTCTTGTACACAAGTCCAAGCACATTTATCATTTTTTTTACACTATAGAAATCCTTTGGCACCTTTTCTTGGTCCTCTGGACTCAACAACTTTCGACTCAATGATAATGCCATTTCCCAATTAGCAGCATTTTATGGATTTGGGCTTACTCCTTTCTTTTTTTACGCCATTGTTGGGATAATAACCTAAAGGAAGGATTAATTTGAAGTACTGTGACATCCTGTCCCCCAGCACCTATATGGACTTCTGCAGCATGCAAGAGATCATAAAATTCTCTTGCCTTACTATTTGGCTCCTCAGCCATTGGCCCGTCATTGTATTCAGACTATGGACCCATTGCATCAACTACCATTTCATGGTATAATTCATCTACCTTATTTCTAACAAACTCCATATTAGACAATTCCCCTTCAAAGTTTCTTACTGTATTACTAGATGTCTCTCCATGAACATACCATGTATAATAATTATTCATAAACCCATGCTTACACAAATGCACAGAGATGACCTCAGGATTCCCCCATTTTCTACATTTACATTTCGAACAAGGACACTTAATCTCTGATTTTGCTTTTGGTCTTGAAATTGCAAATCTCACAAAAAATTGCACTCCCTCTTTAAATTCATCAATAACAAAACCACTATCATCCACACGACGATCTATCCAACTACGGTCGTCCATCATTTAATTACCTAATTTGAATTTCAATTTGACAAAGTATATTAACATATCAACTAATAACCATACATGTCAATAACCACACATGTTAATCTTAATCTTAATAATTTTAAATTAAATTTCTTTATGTACATGAATTCAATATATAAAAATACTACTATATTTCAACAATCATA